TTCCTAGTATAGGAATATCAATGTATTCACCCACGAGTCTCACGCAAATTCCTATATCTTCTCTCCATGGGGGTTTAATTTCTCAAACACTAGACAATTAATTAATAGTATATCTACAAATTAAAACAACTACCCTCTACTCAGTTGGTTCGAATTTCGTGCTGATAATATGTTATAAAATAATAAAAGAAGAAGAAGAATATTGTAGAGAAAAATAGGGAGAGAGAATTCTTATTGATTTGGAATGAATTACAATGGAATAGAACCCCTCTATTTATAGGAAAAAAGTGACTTAGCCACAAAGTAACAAACCCTAAAATCTCTCTAAAATATAGACATTCACCTTAAATACAATTTTATTTATAACAAAATTCATTTATTAAAATCTTTAACTTAAAAGTAGAGTAGACTCGTTAAAATATATTTTTTGGAACTCTTCTTTTCTTTTGAAAATGGGAACACAATTAAATTGTAAAATTGCGGCTATTTTTGTTGTTTTTTATTTATCTAGCGAGATCTACTAAAAAGTAAAATAAAATTTATAATATCAATTAAACCTAAAAGCTAATTGAATATTAAAGGTGGTAAAAACAAATTCACATATGGTAAAAAATTAGGTACTCACACTCACCATCCCCTTGTATAACTGATCATAGATACTTGAAACTGCCCCTATTGGGGATGACCTGTGATTCAAGCCTCACGTCTACTCCCGCTTCCGTCGGCTCGATGCTGAACTTGCACTCTAGATATTCCGTCTTAGTCTTGCTCAAATTGAAACCCTTAGAATCGAGGGCCTATCTCCAAACCTCCAGCCTCTCGTTGATGCTTCCTCGTGTTTCATCAATTAGAATTATGTCGTCAGCATATAGCATACACCATGGTACCTCCTATTGGATATGGTGTGCCAGTGCATCCCTCATCGGGGAAAATAGGAATGGACTGAGCACCGACCCTAGGTGTAACCCCATAACAATCAGAAAATGATCCAAGTCACCTCCTACTGCCCTAACCCGAGTCTTAGCTCCATCATACATGTCCTTAAATCACCCTAATATAAGCAACCGACACACTTTTTGCCTCTAGGCATCTCCATAAAATCTCTCTAAGAAATTTGTCATACACTTTCTTCGGATCAATAAACACCATGTGCATGTCCTTCTTCATATCCTTGCACCGTTCCACCAACCTCCTAATAAGGTAGATAACTTCTGTGGTAGAACGCCCCGGCATGAACCTGAACTGGTTGTCTGAAATAGGCACTGTCCTCCTCACCCTCACTTCTACCACCCTCTTCCAAACTTTTATGGTATGACTCAATAATTTGATACCTCTATAGTTGTTATAGCTCTGGATATCACATTTGTTCTTGTACAACGGAACCACCGTGCTCTACCTCCACCCCTCCGACATCCTCTTCGTCCTGAAAATAACATTAAATAGCCCAGTCAGCCACTTCAAGCCTGCTCTACCCACACACCTCCAAAATTCTACCGAAATTTCGTCTGACCCGGTAGCTCTGCCCCTACTCATCTTACGTATAGCCTCTACGACCTCCTCAACCTTGATGCGCCTACAATACCTAAAGTCATGGTGACACTCGAAATGCCCCAATTCACCTAACACAATATCCCAATTCCCCTTTTCATTCAGAAGTTTATGAAAGTAGGTCTGCCATCTCCGCTTAATCTGGTCCTCCCTCATCAAAACTCTACTGTCCTCGTCTTTGATGCACCACTTACCTTGTAATATTATTATTCCAATGTCTTCTACTTTTTCTTTTCTCTATTTTACTTCATATTTTTAACTTAATTCAATAGAAATCAACTTTATTTTACTTCAAAAAATTAAACCTTTCTACAAAGTGATCTTTGATTCTCTAATTCATAAATTTTGCTAAATCATGCAAGTATATTTGTTGAAATTATTTATAATTTGTTAGATTATGTTGAATTTTTTTTATTTTTTTTATACTAATATTTCTGGTTTAGTGTATTAGCCATCTTTCTTTAATTATTGGTATTAATTCAGTTTATATTGCAACTCTTTTTTATTGTCCTCTATTTGTAGATAATACCTTCTTAGTTTTTTTTTTCTCAATCAACTAGGCAAGGTGCCTAGGGCTAATTTTTATATATATTTAAGAAAGCCAATAACAATAACAAACAAATGTACTGTCTTCCTAGTATAGCTACTAAAAATTTGACGATTACATAGATCCTATTACCAACTTTGAGCATAAGATACTCAATTGTGATAGTATATTTTGAACTAATTAAAATATGATAAAGAAATATACATGTGTAGTAATGCTCATGTTTAAAGACTAGCCCGTTGAAAATTGTGTAGTCATTAAATAACCACATTGCCCAGTAAAGATGCCTGGGCAGTCTTTCTCCGTTGATGTAATCACATTTTTCCTCTAGCATTATCCATCTGTGTAGTGATGAGCCTATGAAATCTCGATCTTTATGTCCTCTCTGATGCATATGATTCGTACAAATAGATAAAAACTGCTGTAGAATTTTGTGATCACACGCACATACCGTATTTTGCATGACATGCCTTGTTCGTGTAGTATTTGTCCTCACAATTACGGAACTGAAATCTGGTTGTACCCTTGATCTACTAGCAATCTAGCATTTACCCAATGGTTTGGTATGTCCAATTGTACCTGAAGCTGGTATTTAACCCTTAATAAATCCAGTGTGCCCGCATTTCTCTTTGCTTCTAGAGTCCAGAAAAATGCACTGTTTGGTGTTGATTAGGCATGATCTCCGACCATTTTCCGCCGATTCCTTTGCATGACATGTATGTTGAAATGTTGTGGTGCATTGTGATTTCACTCCACAATACCTCCATGTCTTCTCTAACCCCAAGCAAATGACATAGACCTCTCATGATTGATGCAATTAATTTTCTGTGCAGTGTCCTTCCTTTGCGTGTAGTTCTATCCGGTGACCTTGTTAAGTTAGATAGTCTACTGGATTGGGGTTGCGTAACTAGTTGTTTCCTCCACTTGAGTTGTATTAATATTTTCTGAAAAGTCATAGCAACTTTGCAGCTTGTTAGCCTCTTATTAGTAGTTATCCATTCCATGCTTGTGTTATCGCAAGGATTGGACACAGAAGCTTCTCCTGCAAAACAGTGAACAAGGTTAGTAGAAAAAATGATCACCATGTTCTCCTCCCAAAGGGTTTGAACATGGTGATCCAATGATGTTTCCATACCCCTACTAGCCCTTCCCTCCCACCTTCTTAATTCTTGGCGACTTTCACCCTCAAGTAAGGACATTGTGATTTATCTTCATTTTCTATTCTTCTTCGGTGTATGTCCAGCTGCCAGAATCCATGACACTCAATATTACCAAAGTCAAGAGCATAATTTGTTAAGGTCTGAGATCGAAGAAAGTGAAGATATTGAAGTTAGGGTTCGAAGAGAGAGAAAATATATGCTTTTCTTTTAACTGAATGAATGTAAAATGAGTTTCTTTTTTCCCTCTTAACTGTTCTCAGAGTTGGGCCTATACATATAAAGGACCCGGAACTCAAACAACCCAAATACAATACAGCCCAAATACAATAAAAACAAAACTAGACCTGAGGCCCAAATACAACTACACTACCACACACTAACTAATGCTCAATTATAAACCATGAATCCCAACACCCCCTCCCCTCAAGTTGGAGGGTGGGACAACACCCAACTTGCTAAGATGAGAGTGATGAGCATTGCCAGCAGGGATTTGGTGAAGATGCCAGCCACTTGAGATGCACTTGAGGTATGAAGCAAGCTGATCAACCCATCTGCTACCTTACTCCGGACAAAATGACAGTCCAACTCGATGTGTTTGGTCCGTTCATGAAATACTAGATTTTTGGCTATGTGTAGAGCAGCCTGGTTATCACAGAATACAGGAATTGAAGAAGATACAGGAAGGCCAAAATCAACCAACAGTCTGGACAACCATGTAATTTCAGCAACAGTTTTGCTCAATGATCGATATTCAGCCTCAGCTGAAGAAAGAGATGCCACATGCTGTTTCTTTGATTTCCAGCACACCAAACTACCACCCAACAAATTATAAAACCAGTAACTGATCTTCTACTATCAGGGCAAGATCCCCAATCACTGTCACAAAAAACTTGAAGAAAAAGGTCTGGTAAATTGTTGAAGAAAATACCATAATCTGAAGTACCATTAACGTACCTCAATAGGTGAAGAGTAGCCTTCATATGAGGAGCACAAGGATGCTGCATAAACTGGCTTAAATGTTGGACATCAAAAGACAAATCAAGCCTAGTATGGGTTAAAAAATTCAGCTTCCCAACTAGGCTTCTGTAAACCTCAGGATTAGGTAAAGGATCCCCTACTTTAGCTTTAAGTTTCTCATGCAACTCAAGAGGAGAAATGACAGGAGTGCAGATATCACAATGAAACTCTTTTGTAAGATCATGAATAAACTTCCTTTGATGCAATAAAACCCCAGAAGAAGAATATAGTACCTCAATACCAAGGAAGTAATTAAAAAAATCCAAATCTTTGATTTTAAACTGATCATGAAGAAAAGCCTTTAAGGCAGAAACCTCTCCCAAATCAGTCCCAGTAAGAATAATATCATCTACATACACAGCCAAGATGACAAGAGAATTCCTAGAACCTCTGGTGAATAGAGAATAATCATTGAGTGTATGAGTATACCCTTTGGACTGTAAGGCTTGTGACAGTTTAGCATACCACTGTCTTGAAACTTGTCTCAAGCCATATAGAGATTTTTTCAGCTTAAAAACAAGTGTGGCAGAAGAGGAGGTAGAGGGAACAGACAATCCAGGAGGTAATTTCATATAAACTTCCTCATCCAGATCACCATGAAAGAAAGAATTATTAACATCAAGTTGGAAGAGAGGCCAGTTTTTCTTAACTGCCACAGCAATGAGAGTTTTAATAGTGGACATCTTTACAACAGGGGAAAATGTCTCATGAAAGTCAATTCTTTCAACTTAGGTATCACCCCTGACCACTAACCTTGCTTTATATCTTTCAATAGAACCATTAGCTTTGTATTTAACCTTATACACACATTTGCATCCAATTGGTTTCTTTCCAAAAGGCAACTCAACTATATTCCAGGTTTCATTAGTCTCCAAAGCTTCAAATTCCTGTCTCATAGCAGCCTGCCATTCAGGGACAGTTACTGCCTGAGAATAGGTATAAGGTTTAGAAACATGTTGCTTGACTAGACTAGAAGAGGATTCAGAAGTGGAGCTAGTAGACTGACAGACATAGCTCTTAAGATACTCAGGTTGCTTGTGAACTCTAGAAGACCTCCTGAGAGCAGGAGGAGAAGAAGAAGTGGAATGAAAAAGAGGAACATGAGGAGGAGAGATAGAGGCAGAAGGCTGTGAGAATAAATGAGGGGAATTAGATGAAGGGGCAGGAGGAGAAGAGGCATGAGGAGTAGGAAGAGAAGAGGAAGAGGTGGAAGTAGAAGATACAGGAGAAATATAATGGAAAGAGGTAGTAGTAGAAGGAGAATCATCAAAACATGCAGCAAAAGGAGAAGGACAGAAGCTGGCAGCATTTATGGGTGATTTAAGGAATGGAAAAATATGTTCATGAAATATAACATCTCTAGACACAAAACAGGAGCGAGTCTCCATATTATATAACTTGTATCCTTTCTTAGCAAAGGTATATCCCACAAACACACAAGGTACAACTCTAGTTGAAATTTGTATCTAAGGTGCTTGGGAATGGTGGAATAGCAAAGACAACCAAAAGCTCTAAGATGAGTATAAACAGGCAATTTTCCATAGAGTAACTCATAAGGGCTTTTGTGATTTAGTAAAGGGGATGGAAATCTGTTTAGCAAATACGTAGCAGTGAGAATACAGTTTTCCCAGAATTGAAGGGGAAGGTGAGATTGAAACAGTAGTGCCCTGGCAGTCTCAAGAAGATATATATGTTTTCTTTCCACCACTCCATTTTGTTGAGAGGTATGAGGATAGGAGGTCTGATGCACAATACCTTTCTCAGTAAAGAATTAACACCCAGACAAGCTGGACCCTAATTATAGAGCATTGTCACTCCTAACAATTTGGACTTTAGTGTGGAATTGAGTTTCTACCATGGCAATAAAGGCCTTTAGGATGTCAAAGGCATTGCTCTTGGCACCCAAAAGGTGAGTCCAAGTAGCTCTAGTATGTTCATCAACAATGGTTAGAAAATATCTGGAACCAGAATATGTAGTGGTATGATAAGGTCCCCAAGTGTCAATGTGAAGCAATTGGAATGGTGTGTTTGACTTTATAGAACTATCAGGGAAAGGTAACCTCGTTTGTTTAGCCAAGGGACAAATATGACAAATGAAATATTGTTTAGATGACAATTTGGTTCCAAGATCAGATACATTCTTCATTTTAGAAAAAGGTAGATGCCCTAGTCTATAGTGCCAAACAACATCATTCCAGAATATAACAAGATAGGAATGTATACAGAAATAAGATTATATTTAAAGATAGGAATGTAAAGCACATTGTGAAGAATGAAATTAGGAAACAAAGCTAAAGAGTCTACATTATGAACTTTAACTTTGTAACCATTTGGAAGAGACACTAGGTAAGGAACAGATAATGTTTGTATGTTGAAAAGAAGGGATTTATCAGAGGTCATGTGATCCGAGGCTCCAGAATCTATAATCCAAATAACATTGTCTATCTTAGTAAGCAAGCAAGTTCTAACTGAACCATTCTCATGTAGAAGCATACCAGTAAAATTGGCAGATGCCAAGAAGGTAGGAGGATAAGATGGAGTGGAAAGATGAGACTGCTGCAACAACATCATGAGTTGAGAGTAATGATCTTTAGTTAAACCAGGAACTGGAAAAGCTTGGGGAGACTCAGACTGTGCAACAGTACCACCATGAATCCCAACATCACCATAATGATCAATTTTAACATGTGCAGCTGCTTTTCTAAGACCAGCTCCTTTAGTGAACTTGAAATTGGGAGGGAAGCCATGTAATTTGTAGCATTTGTCAATAGCATGCCCTAGTTTCTTGCAGTACTTGCAGATTAAAAGCGACCTTTGAGATTCTGAGTTAAACTTTGAATGAGAATTTTGTGGTCTAGAAGAGTCAAAATTGACCTTGGATGGGAAACTCTGTTTGGAAACCCCAACATTATAGGAGGCAGAATTGTTGGTGAATTGAGATGCAGAGGATACTTGTCTCTATTTTTCATCAGCCAAAAGAATACTGTACACAGTGTTCATTGAGGCCAAGGGCTTCATCATGATTATGATACTCCTCACTTGAAGATAAGTATTATTAAGTCCCATCAAGAACTGATAAACTTTTTGTTCTTCCTCAGCTTTCTTGTTACCACCACATATACAAACAGATAAATGGTTAACAGAAATGGAAGATATCTCATCCCAGATTTATTTTATCGTGTTAAAATAAGAGGCTATATCTAGTGAGCCTTGAAATATGTGTGCCAACTCCTTCTTAAGTTCAAACAACCTAGCTCCATCAACCTTTCCATATCTCTCCTCAAGTTCACTCCAAATGTCTTTAGCTAACTCAGAGTATGCAATACTATGAGATATTTCTTTGGTAAGAGAGTTTGTCAACTAGGAGATGACTAAATCATTGCATCTCTACCATTGCCTTGCCAAAGGGGACTCAACAGGTGGCTTGACAGATGAACCATTGATGAAATCCAATTTATTACGAACAGACAAGGCTACTATGATAGTCCTACGCCAGCTAGAATAACCAGACCCATCAAAGGGAACAGAAACTACAGAAGCACCCAGAACATCAGAGGGATGGACATACAGTGGGTGACATGGATGGGTGCAGTCATCCGGATGAAAAACAAAATGGGATGAGGTTCCTACACTATCGACTGGAGTCTCAGAATTATTTGTCATATTGACAACCAACTAAAGAAATAACAAACAGGACCAGACTACTAACAATAGTGAAACAAAATTCAGCAACTGAAGTTTCTAAGACAGAAATTATACATGCAGGGTAAAGAATAACAACAACGAGCTAACAAGGCGCTAGAGAGATGAAACAATGTTACCAAAAGCATCGCTTGCTACCGGAAGGGGACGGTCTTGACAAAAAATGGAAAAACATACCAAAATTATTGAGAAGATGAGCTGAAATAGGTCGACGTTGTCCAAATCAAAAGGATCACAACGGCTATTTGAAAAAAAAAACTCCTTATCATCAACGATTTTTATCTCGCAAAACCCTAGATTCCGATCTCTGACGAATGCCAGAATCGGGATGCAATTTGGTAGGGAAAACTTCACTAATAACACTGCACATCGACGAAGCAACAGATCTTGAATGCCATGGCTCTGATACTATGTTAAGGTCTGAGATCGAAGCAAGTGAAGATACTCAAGTTAGGGTTCGAAGAGAGAGAAAATATATGCTTTTCTTTTCACTGAATTAATGTAAAATGAGTTTGGTTTTCCCCTCTTAGCTGTTCTCAGAGTTGGGCCTATACATATATAGGACCCGAAACTCAAACAACTCAAATACAATATAGACCAAATACAATAAATTCAAAATTGGACCTGAGGCCCAAATACAACTACACTACCACACACTAACTAATACTCAATTCTAAACCATGAATCCCAACATAATTTGCAAGGTGATCAGCCAATTTGTTCCCCTCTCTATAAATGTGTGACACCTTGTTACTACACCCTTCCAGTAGTCTCATAATCTCCTATACATGATCGACAATACACCAATGTAGATTTCATGTACCATCTATTATATTCTTCAGTAGCATAGAGTCAGTTTTGATCCATACATGGTTTTAATGTTGTAATCTGTAGTACCACAACGCTTACAAAATTGCCAATGCTTCTGCCTCAGTATTTGTAACCTCATTAATTTGCCTGCCAAATGCATATTTCACATCTCTTGTTTCCTCCCTTAGAAAGAATTCAATTGCACTCCTTCCAGGATTTCCTCTAGATGCTCCATCAATATTAATTTTGATTCACCCTTCCATTGGTAATTCCCAAGTAACTTTCTCATATTTCAAGCGTGGGGTATTGTAATGACCTGGCCAGTCATTTTAAAGGTTGTAGCCACGTTTCCCTATTTACTGCTCATTTTATACTTTATAACTATTATGTGACTTACCGAAATAGTCGGTTCGGGTTCGGAAGGATTTCGGAGTGAAATAAGACACTTAGTCTCATAATTAAAAACTTAAGTTAAAAAAATTGACCGGATATTGACTTATATGTAAACGACCTCATATTTGAATTCTGATGATTCCAATAGCTCCGTATGATGATTTTGGACTTAGGAGCATGTCCGAAAAATTATTTGGAGGTTCGTAGTAGAATTAGGCTTGAAATGGCAAAAGTCGATTTTTTGGAAAGTTTGACCCGGGGGTTGACTTTTTGATATCGGGGTCGAAATCCGATTCTGAAAATTTAAATAGGTCAGTTATGTCATTTATGACTTGTGTGCAACATTTGAGGTCAATCGGACATGAATTGGTAGGTTCCGGCATCGTTTGTAGAAATTGGAAGTTTGAAGTTCATTAGGCTTAAATTGGGGTATGATTCATGGTTTTAGCGTTGTTTGATGTGATTTGAAGACTCGACTAAGTTCATATGACATTTTAGGACTTGTTGGTAAATTTAGTTGAAGTCTCGAGGGTCTCGGGTGAGTTTCGGATGGTTAAAGGATCGATTTTTGAATTTGGAAGACTGCTGAAGTTTTTGCCTTCTGGTGCAATTGCACCTACGAAACTTGGCTCGCAGGTGCGAGCACGCAGAAGTGAAATGGGCATCGCAGGTGTGCAAGGTCCGCAGAAGCGGACAGAAAACTCGCACAAGCAAGCTCGCAGGTGCGAGCTGGGATGCGCAAAAGCGGAGGCTGGGCTGTTGACTATGAAGCCCAGATGCGGAAGGCATCTCGTAGGTGCAGATACACATCTGTGCGTGGGGGATCGCAGATGTGATAATGTGCACAGAATCGGTGAAAAATGCGCAGAAGCGGTTGCACAAAAGCGGTTAAAAATTCTGCAGGTGCGGAACCTCTGGACAGTGTACAAAAGCAGAGGGGTCCATGATTTTCTCATTTTTGGATATTCCAAACACGGGTTGAGGCGATTTTTGAGCGAGAAATCATGGGGAATCTTGAGGTAAGATACTTGTGATCATTTCTACTCCATAATATTGAATTATCATCGAATTATCCGACTAGATTACATATTTTTGAAGTGTAAATCGGGGATTTGAACTTAGGAATTTGAAAATAAGATTTGAAGATTTGGAGGTCGAGTTGAGGTCGGATTTTTGTAAAATTGGTATGGTTAGACTCGGGGTTGAATGGGCTTTCGGATTTTGTAATTTTTGTCGGATTTCGAGACGTGGGTTCCACGAGCAATTTTTGGGTTAAATTTCGGATTTTGTTAGAAAATTTGTATTTTCATATGGAATTTATTCCTATAATTTGTATCGATTGAATCGAATTAATTATGATTAGATTCGAGCCAATCGGAGTCGGAAAATCAAGAAAAATGCATACTACTTGACTGATTGAGTGCGATTTGAAGTAAGTGACTTGTCTAACTTTGTGTATGTGTG